TGCCGCCGGGCTGCGGAAGGAGGAGATCGGCTCGCACAGCCTCCGCATCGGGGGCGCGACAGCGATGTACCACGCCGTGGACGACTTGCAGCGCGTCAAGCGCTTCGGGCGCTGGGCCTCCGATAGCTTCCACGGGTACCTGTGGGAGAGCCACGAGCCCATGCGCGGCATCTCGACCAACATGGCGACGGATGTGTCCGAGCTCACGGCGCCGCCGGCCCATGGGGCCGAGGGCGTGCGCCGTGCAGGCAGGAGCCCGACCCCGCTTTGGCCCAAAGCAGCGCTGACCATGACGACGCTCGCCGCTACGGCTGGCAGCGCAGACGGCTACGTGCTCAAGGTCAGCCCGGTGGAGAGTCAGAATCTGCTGATCCTCGCGCTCCCGGTCGGCTTGGGAGCTTGGGCGATGGCGGCGGGGGTACTACTGGCAGCCGTGCTGCTGAGCGCTGCATGGCGGCGCGAGCGGCAGCGAAGGCGCAGAGGAGCGGCCCGCAGGCGCGGCAGCAGCTGCAGGATCCGCGTCCCCTGCGCAGGCATGCTGTGCGCAGCGCTGGTGGCGACGGCGCTCACGACAGCAGCCGGAGAGGTACAGAGCCGAGAAGTGGCGACTGTTGACGGCAAGGCCCAGGGGGCCATGCTTCGCTGGGAGCCGCAGATGGGTACGGTGGCGATCATTGTCCCGGTGGGAACGGCGATGAAGGTGGGTGCCACGATCGCAGTGCTGCTTGCAGCAGGCATCGGGGTGATTGGTGGCTGCTGCTGCAAGATGGCCAAGGAGGACGAGGGTAGGCAGGGGCCAGCCGTGCAGCAGGCCGCCGCGCAGCAGACGCCCAAGGTGCATAAGCCTCCCAAGCAGCCGCAGAGGACGTTTTGCGACGCAGGGGTGATGGGCCCGGTGCACTACAATGGCGTGAGGTACGTGCACGAGACCCAGGGCTTCCGCCGGGCCAACGAGGTGACGCGGGAGATGGCCCCGTCAGGGCACCGCGGGTCATCAGGATGGCCCCGTGGAGGGGAGCAGAGGCCGCACCGTGACTAGGGCGCGGGCTGCCGCCGGCCAGCGGCCGAGCGGGCAGCAAGGGACCGCCGCCGGCAACCGCCGTGCGAGCGGCCACGTGGCGCCGGCTGAGTTCAGCCTGGCGCCCGCATCAGCTTCGTACTTGCGAACGGCTGGGCGCGCGCCGCGGCCAGGCTGCCCGTGGGCAGGCGCCGCGCCGGCCTGGCACCCGGCAGTGCCGCCAAGGGGGCAGCAGTGGCGGCTTCGAGGAAGCGCCGGCGGCTAGCCCAGCCAGGGCTGCCGCGCGGGGCGCGTGGGAACCACCGCCGCCGGCATACGCCGTGCGAGCGGAAGCGCGGCGCCGGCTGAGCTCAGCCTGGCGCCCGCGCTCAACTTTGCGCTTGCGAGCAGCTGGGCGCGGCGCGGCGGCAGCTGGCGCCTGAGGGCAAGAGCGCCGGCCGGCCCGGCAACCGGCAGTGCCGTCATGGGGGACGGCGGTGGCGGCTACGGGGGCGCCGGCAGCCAGCCCAGCCAGGGCTGCTGCCTAGGGCGCACGAAGAACCACCGCGGGCGCCGGCGGCCTGCCGCCCTGCGCCTGCGGACCCACCTTGCTGGGCAGACGCGGCGGCCTGCCGCGGATGCCAGGACTGTTCTACGCCGACAAGGTCGGCGGCTACGCGTCCCACTACAGCCAGTTCGGCGTGGTGGAGCGCTCGCAGGGGGAAAGGAGGCGGCGTGGCCCGCTGCGCGTGGCCGAAGACGGCGCCGGCGCGTGGAGCGCCGGGCGCCAGCACAGGGAGCGGCACGGCCCCTTTGGCAAAAAGGGTCGTCGTCATCATCTGAGCCGTGCACGTCCCTCTTTTCCTCCCTCTTGAGCCCCTGCCTACTAGGCTCAAGAGGTTTTAGTTTACCAGTGCTGCTTGAGGGGATATCTAGGATGTTTGGTAAAACTGATGGATCTCCCCGACTCCAGAACTGGCGCGGGCTTCCACTTGCGGTTCCCTTGCTCCTGCCCTTGCCTCTTGCTTGCCCTTTCTCTCTCCCTCTCTCTTCACCGCCGCTCCGCGGCTCAAGCCTTTCTAAGGCCAAGCTGGCCCACCCTGGGAGCCCCGCAGGGCTCCCTACCCGCCCTTTTCTGGACTTTTACAGCGCCGCCTGGCACTACAGTGCCTCGGCGGCGCGGCGTGGCCCGCTGCGCGTGGCCGAAGACGGCGCCGGCGCGTGGAGCGCCGGGCGCCAGCACAGGGAGCGGCACGGCCCCTTTGGCAAAAAAGGGTCGTCGTCATCATCTGAGCCGTGCACGCCCCTCTTTTCCTCCCTCTTGAGCCCCTGCCTACTAGGCTCAAGAGGTTTTAGTTTACCAGTGCTGCTTGAGGGGATATCCATGCACTTCGCGCGCCGAATCTTGAATTTCTCCTGCACCTTCTCCTGCCACGCTCCCGACTCCTTCCGTGACTTCCGCGCCTTCGCAGGTCCCGCGCATCTCTCGCACTTGCTCGTCCTTACGTACACTCGCCCCCCGCGAGCCTCGTTCTCTGGCGTCCTCGGGCCCATCGCGGCCCACGTCTTGCATTCGGTACACCACTTCTCGCCTGCCTCCTTCAGCTCTTCCGTGCAATCTCGACAGAAACTCGGCCCCTCCTTTTCCTTGAACTCTGTGGGCGTGAAATCCGCTTTCTCCTTCAAGGTACTACATTTACTGCACATCTTACGGGGCATCAACTCTGCCTCTATGTCCGCCCACGGCACCTCCTCCCCGCGCAACTTGCCCAGCAAATACTTCGTCCCTTCCATCTCTCCTTGCGTATACGGCTTCAACTCAAACGGGCGATATATCAGCAACCCTCTACGGTTTTCACGCGGGTGATGGCCACGTAACTCGACATCCAACTCACATTTCGACCCTCCTGCAAATCTGCGATGACGGCGTCCAGGGATCGGCCCTGCGCTGCGTGCGCCGTGCTTGCCAGGCCTGGCGATATCAGAAACTGCTTCCGCCGAACCCCCAACACGGGCTTCTTTCGGTACGCGTCCAAGAACCAGACTCGCTGTCTCGGCGCAATCGGATACAACCCAGGCCCCGGCATGCTCTTCAGCGCCCACGCGTCCGTATGAAAGTCGAGCACGATCTGCCGCGGCATCCTTCGCAGCGTGACTTCTGCAGCGTCCGCGACGGCACCCTCGTCCTCGTCGACTACCCATGAGTGAATCGTCGCGTGGCAGCCGCGGAGCAGTTGTTTCTCTCCCCTATCCAAATGATCCGTCAGAACAACGGGCATGCCCGCCGCCAGCGGCAGCCACCCTGGCATATCTGCGCATGCTTTATCATGGTATCCCAGCCACCGGATCTTGTCAGAAGACGTGTATAGCCGTTTTTGGAGGGATCCATGACGCGCCGCGTCCCCAGCGTACATCCACGAAATTTGCTTCCCCTCGCTCGCGGCCCAGTCCACGGCGCGCTGACGTGCGACTTTACATTTTACATCCTGGTTCGGGTAAATCGCGGTCGCCCTTACGAACTCCGGCAATAAGAACCTCTCGTCATCGGGCCCCGTTGCGACCCATCTACTGAACATGCCTCCGTTTCGGCACACCCCGCACGCGGCAACTTGAGTAAAAGGCCCCAGAACCCGAATATACGCGCGGTTCCCCGCCAACATTGGGCACGTCCCTCATACATTTCGTGGCACCATAGCCCCAGTACCCGCTGTCACGTAAACTTCCAACCCCACGCGCACACACACGTCGACCGTGTCGTGGCTCCAGAACGTCCACCGTAGGGCCCAGTGGGAACATTCGCATGCAAGTATACCCCATGCCGGCACACCCTTTGCACGCGCCGTGGCCTCGCACATGGCCAAGTTGACCCATCATGACTCCTGGGCAGTCCCCCAAAAAAACTCCCGACCGCTACCGAAACGGCTCGAAGACATTCCCGAGCCCAACCTGGCTCCATTATGCCTCTCAGATGGCCCCAGATGAGACCACGACCGCCCGCGGTGTCGCCGTCCGCTCGGACCCCCCCGCGGAACTGCCCGAGACCCTCTGGCGGTGGCGGCGAACAGACACCAAACAAATATCACTCGCCTTTTCACCCCTTCGCAGCTTCTACTACCCCCAGATTGGCATAAACAAGGGGTCGGCGGTGTGGCGTAAGCCTAAGAATCGAAACTGCGGGAGGCAGAAACGTGGGGACGAGAGAGATCCTCCAGACAACGGGAACTTAAGCCAGCACTAGCCTGGAAGACCTGGTGCCAGTCCGAGTCGGCCTGTACAGCGACGTCGTCTGGTACACGAACAATGTCGAGCGCGACGTCCCGACCAGCAGAAGAAAGAACCGCACCATCACATGAAAGGTAGCTCCTGAGCGCCCTCAACTGCGCAGCAAGCCACGTGATGGACTTAAGGCGTCGGTCCTTAACTTTACCAGCTGGTTTCAAGACCGACTTCCAGATCAGCTTGGGGCGTTTGCCCCTCATGCCGTGGGCAGGAAGGTCGACCCCGAGGGCCCTCTCCAGATCGGCCTCGGCCGAGTTGGCCCACAGGCGGTACCCAGGGGTCCCTCCCGATCCTCCCTGTCATTCCGCTGCTTCATCCCCCTCCTCCTCCTGTCCCTCCACCTTCTCCAGCTACTCCTCCTCCTGCACGGTTTCGTTCTCGTCCTCCTCCTCCTCCTCCTCCTCCTCCTCCTCCTCCTCCTCTTCTCTCTCTTCCTCCTCCTCCTCCTCTCTCTCCTCCTTCCCAACCGCCGACCACGGCGATGACGACGACCGAAGGCAAGAACCGATGACGGCAATGACTGATGGCGGCGACGCCGCCGACGACGACGGCCACGACGACGACGACGGAAACGACGACTAACACCGACGACGACGGACGACGACGGACGACGACGACGACGACGACGACGACGACGACGACGGTTGACGACGCCGAACGGCAACCACGACGACGACGACGCGACTGCGACGACGACGGACGGCTTGAAAGGCCCCGCGGGCGCCTGAGTGCTCTCCAACTCGACCAGCGCGCAGATAGCGGCGCCGCGGACGACAGAGCCCTCCTGCGGGGAGGGCGGGACTCAAGGTGGGGGCGGAAGAGGACGGAAAAGGCGGAGGACGGAAGACGGAGGAGGACGGAGGAGGGAGGAGGGCTGCGGCGAACAAAGGAGGAGGAGGAGGAGGACGAGGAGGAGGAGGAGGAGGAAAAGGAGGAAGAGGAGGAGGAGGACGAGGAGGAGGATGAAGAGGAGGACTGAGGACAGAGGTTTGCGGGAGGGCGGCGCCAGGTCGGAGGGACGCCAGAGACTGTGTGGAGGGCGCTGCGCGCGGCCTTTTTGTTGCGCGACGCAGCACGGCGCGAGCGTGCGTGCGTGCGCGATTATAACTCACACGCACTGAGAACATTAACAACCGCGTCGCGACCCAATTACTTTTAGCGATGGCGCGCCGCCCATGCGCCTCATCTCGCCCGTTGATCTCCACGTACCCCTTCAGCCACTCACACTCCGACTCATATGATTAGTCCTACGGTTAATGCTTACTGGTTGCGATGTTATTGCTGTTGGTGTTGTTGTTGGTGGTATTGTTGTTGGTGCTGCTGCTGTTGTTGCTGGTGTTAGTGTTGGTGCTGTTTTGCTGTTGTTCCCCACATGCTTAGTGGGGTTATGGATTTCTTCCCTGCCGCGCCGCACCCGCGTCTCCTCCCTCACTCAACTCCCTCCTCTTCTGCACTCCTTTCCTCCCCTACAGACACACAAACACACAGACACACACACAGGGGTACACACAAACACACAGACAGACACGGCCGCACACACATCAGATACTTACACACCGCACACCACACAACACAGACACAGACACAGACGCAAGGCACGGCAGGTGTAGCACGTTCTCGACACCAGAGGGGGTGCGCAGGGGGTGGTCCCTGAGCGCGGTCTATATACGTTCCAGGCTCGCAGGGCACGGCAGACGTGGCATTTTCTCGACACCAGAGTGGGTAAGATGGGGGTGGGGGCGCTATGCGTTGCAGGCTCGCGACCATGGCAAGCGTGGCGTTTCCTCGACGATACGGGGGGTGCACTGGGGGTGGGGGCGCTATGCGCTGCATGCTCCAAGGGCGTGACAGGCGTGGCAGTTCCTCGACGCCACAAGGGGTGCGCTGGGGGTGGGGCGCTATGCGTTGCATGCTCACGCTATGCGCTGCATGCTCCCAGGGCGTGACAGGCGTGGCAGTTCGTCGACGGCACAAGGGGGTGCAATGGGGGTGAGGGCGCTACGCGTTGCAGGCTCGCAAGGCATGGCAGGCGTGGCATTTCCTCGACGCCACAAGGGGTGCGCTGGGGGTGGGCGCGCTCTCCGCCCTGGTCGTCCACGGCACAGCAAGCGTGGCACTTTCTTGACCACCTAGCATCATCCACGTATGTTGCACGTCGGCTATATTAAGATAAGAGTTCAAACGATGTATGGGGGGTTCCTCGGTGGCGTAATTGATGTTGCCGCGGCTCCTGTTTGTAATCCCGTGTTCGACGCTCGTCACAATAGATTTGCTGGGTCCGCGGTAGAAGTACAAGTGCAGGCGATCAGCCTGCCAATCCTTCAATTGCACATGCTGCTTGCCAACCAGCCGAGTCGCACAGCGCTCAGGCGGAAGATGGCTGAGTCGACGACGCGATCGAAGAGGCCGCATCGGACCGGGCATAGTCCCCTGGAAGATCGAGAGCGCCAACTTGACGCTGACGCGCGCCACGTCGGTCTCGACATCGAGGTTTTTGACGGAGCACGCGGCCTCGATGGCAGGGCGTCTGCAAAGAAAGCGGATCTGATCCTTGGCAAGGCCGCCGAAACCGCAAAACCTGACTATGGCCCAACACGCCGAAATCAATCCCTCCTTTTGGGCGTGGAATCGCCGACCAGAGCCGCGCGCCAGGAAATATGGCAAGCCCCGAACCGCACGTTAAGCGCGCGACGCGAAGTTTAGCAGCTACTACGCGCGACGCGGCATCGCCGAACCACGGCATGCGACCTGGCGGACGGATTGGCGGCGAGCTGCGGCGAGGCCATCTGGTCCTCCCGCGCGCGGAAGCACGGAGTCACCATTGGGCCAGAGCTGCGCCTGGAATCGCATTGTACCGGCGCGCAGTCGCCATCGAAGCTTCACGGACCAGGTCGCGCGGATCAGCCGGCGCGCGACCGCGTCGAGCTTCTCTCGGCATCGCGGCAATCCGCAGCAGAGCTGGAGGCCGCTAGCATTGGCTTCCCTTGGTAGTCGGGCCACCGCAGCAAAAGCGCTGGACCCTCAGCTCTGCGCCGACGGCGCTCCTCGACAGACGCACTGACATTCGCGGCGCGAGCTGCCGAACTCGTCGCGGGCGCCAGCGTCGTCGGCCGCGCTCGGAATGGGCAAGGGGCCCGGGGCGCTTGCCCCCGCGCTGCCGCGAGGCTCATCGACGGAGCGTTGAAGAGAGGTGCCCCACGGGCCACGGAAATGATCGCTACCTTTTGACAGCGATCGGCCTCCACGTTCCGCCGCGGCCCCCGGGGGCCACGCGGGTGCGGCCCTGGCCGTGCCCCGCAGCCCCTTCCCCCCTGAACGCGCCTCGTTCAGATTGAGCTGAGCGGCGACGCGCGCGCCCTCGAAACGCGGCAGCCCCCCGGCAAGATGCGGCAGTCTGTCCGATCGGGCGTTTCGACGATCGCGAAGACAGGAGGATGAACGCTTCCGACCACAACCGGCGGCAGCGCGCCGCGCGGGGAGCCCCGCGCCCCCTCGGCCGCCGTCGGAGGCGCGCGCAACACCTGGCAGCGCAGCCCAGACTCTCCTCGGCCGCTGCCCCCTCCAGGTTGCGCGGAGACGGCGCGGCGCAGTCGAGGCCGCCGAGGCGCTGCGAAGAGCGACCCCGGCTGGCCGCCGACGCGAGCGCCTCGGCTGCCAGCCGCGCGCCAGCGACGAAACGGGGGCGCGCCCAGAGACTGGCCGCCTCGCAAGGCCCTGGTCGCCAAGAGTTCTGCGACCTCAGCGCGGAAGGCAGCGCCGGCGCAGACGAAAGACGACGGCGGACCTGGAAGCGAGGCTGCGACGCAGAGGGCCGCCGCGCTGACGATATTCTCACGCGCGAGATGAATCAACGGGCAATGATAGTCGCTGGCGCGCGCCGCGCGCGCTCGCAAGCCCGGCGCGCGCGACGCGAACGGCAGACGCAGCGCGCGGCGCAGAGCGGGCGGCGCCGCGGGCCCTGGCTTCTCGCAGAATCCGCAACGGCTGGCGCTGCGGGTTCGCGGCGTCGCTTGCCTCCCTGGGCGCCGGCGATCCACGGGTGGCTCCTCGCTCCTGCTCGCAGCGCGCGGCGCCAGCGCAGTCGCGCCAGGGCGGGGGGGCGGATTCCACTTCGCCGAAATAGGAACTAGCATCGAGGGCATCGAGCCGCTTCGCTCCGGATTTCGGCTGCGCGGGAGCGTCGACCAGGTCTGATTCGAATGCGATGGGCCAAGCCACGCGCGACGCAAGTGGCCGCGCCGCGCCGCGCAAAAGCTAAAGTTCGCCGATCGGGTCACGCCAGTCGGCGTGCCTGGGACAGCCACGCAAAAGGGCCCCCAAGGCGCTGGTGCTATCTGCGACGGCGACAATTTTCTTGTCACCTGGCAAATAATCAAACAAGAACGTGAGAGCACGCGCCCATTCCATGGGCTCTCCAGCGACAGTTTGGTTCTTTTTGTAATCGACCGCTTTTGGGCCGCCGCTGGATGCATCCTGATCTGCGGCCGCGCAAATCGCCAGGTGGCATCGTCGGCGACGCAGACGCCATCCTTTGGGCGGCGGCCCCCCGTCGTCGAGCCGCAGCCCGTTTGGCGCCTAGCGCCGGGTCCGCGCGCCCGCTGAGCTCCCGCCCGGCATCGAAACCGAAGACAAACGCGGCGACGCCGAAACCAGCCTGGCGCAGGCAGATCTTCAGGGCCCACCCAGAACAGCCGCTCTCAAAGTTGCAGGCGAAGACGCACGTCGGAAACATGTTGCCGCTGCGCCCCGGCCCCGCGGGGGGCAACGCCCGCGCGCGGTCGCCCGCTCCAAATGCGGGCAGCTTCGGCGCCTCCTTCTGACCATTCTCTCGGGGCAGCGGCGGGCGCGAGGGCCGCGATCCAGCTGCCGCGCCGCATCGGACACGAAATATAGTAAACTGCCGAGCACCTTCTCCGCTGGGCACGTCTCGGGCAGGCCTGCCCCTCGCAGCACCGGCAGCGCCCCGCCGCTCCGAGCGCCGCGCCTGCGAGAGCAAACTGACGCGTCCACGATGCCCATCGGCCCATCGGTCGGACGAAGTCGGTAGAAACATGAAGTAGGAAGGCGTCAGGAGTGGATTGGGCGCCGCCCGCCCCCTTGGAGGGGCGGAAAAGGTGAAGCCACTCGATCATTGAAGTAGGAAGGCGCTTAAAGTAGATTGGAATCTGGGGCTCCAAAGACACCTGCTTTCAACGACCGATGGGCAAACCTTTTTCCTGAAGGGGCCGTTGCGCTTTCCTCCTGCGCATCTCCGCGTCGGGCGACCAAGAATGGAACCGGCGACCCTGGGGCCCCGGCCACGGCCCGAGCCCCTTCCACAGGAGCCGCCTGGCGAACGCCCCTGCGTTTGGGCATTCTCTCTTGGCAGGCGAGGTTGCGCGGCAGGGTTCCCGCGCTGGAAACTGGGGAAGTTTGGCCGGACAGGCGCATTCCACGACTCGCAGAGGAACTACTCGCAAATGGCCTGGGTCCGCCGCGAGGAGTTCACGATCCATTACGTCGAGGCAGACATGTTTTTTTTTCGCACGTTTGCGAGTAGGCACTTTGCGAGTAGTGGAACGCGCTCGGTGATTGACGGGGTTGTCGACTACATCTCCACGACGGATTGCCGGTCGACCACCTCGCCGATGATCTCCCGACAGAACGCGTCTATGAATGCATGAGAACATCGCGAGGCCACTGATGGCTCCAGCTACCCGTCGCACGCAAGATGCAACCAGCGAGGGTACCGCTCGCGGAATGCCTCGCAAAAAAATACGCGCGGCCGCGCTTGGGGCCAGAAGC